TCTCTTTAAAAGGATTATTGTCCTCAAGGACCAACTCTTCCTTTTGCTCTTCTGCGACGGGTTTATCCGCCTCTTCCAGCCCCAGCAGATCCACCACTGGTTGGGCTTCCGGATCTGGCTGATCCTCCGGCGTCAGCATCCGCACCAACTCCCGCATGTACGATGACTGTACAGAAAAAGACAGAACAAAAAGCCCCAAAGCAAAGCATCAAAAATTATTGCATGCGCTGTTTTGTATTTACATGCTATTTGTTTTACCTTGTCTAAATGTTGAAACTCTTGGGGATCTAGCCCTGATATCTGCATAGTTTTGAGAGAAAACTTCAAACTCTTCATCATCAGAATCTAGCCCATTGAAAAATATGTTGGGCATAGATCCTACTATGCATTCTTTAACTTTAGCTTTATCCAGCTTTAGAATTTTCTTCTTCCTCTATTTTTGTAAATGCATGCACAAAAAGCAAAGCAAGCAAAAAAGCAAAAGCATTGTTAATCATTTTTATTAAAACAAAAGAAGAAATTGGCTAACCTTGTTCCTGATAAACTTGACGAGCCAAACCAAAAAGACAGCCAAAGATGTGGCTCCAGCCCCACCAAGGCCCATAAAAACTAGGACCATGGCCGTCCAAGGGTCCACGTCCGCCTCGACGTGCGCAACACCATGTTTGATGTTGACAGTCACTTCCGGCGTAGATGACGGTGCCTTGATGACGTGTGGCACCTCTTGGGCCACCACGACGCTTTGTTACGTCAAGGGCGGCGCCCGGACCACGAAAGGCGTTTTGCTCGCCGGCACATGGACAACCGCCAGGTTGGCTGTCGGCGCCACTGGGCGAGGCTCATCTGTATATACAAAATTTTATTAATATCTGGTGAAGGAAATTTTTGTTTTGGTGTTGGTCAGTTGTTCGATGTGTGTTATGATGTTATGTGTGTGAGTTGTGTTCTTAGAATGTTTTATGTCTGTGTGGAAAAGCTGAAACAACTCACCAACCACCGGCGGAACTGCCGCCGTTGAAACTTCCGGCTCGGGTGGCACGACTTCCTCGCACCACCTCCAAGGCGTCACGACACGATCCATGTCGGCCTGACGCCCGACGCAGACCGTCGGCGACAGCAACTTCACCTCCTACAAACAAGACTGGCTGTCATACTAGCTTTTGTTCCATTTTCTCGAAACTCACCTTCAAGTCCGCCTGCCTGACGCAGTCCAGGAACAGTGTCGCTCCAACGAATGTCACGCGGCGCCCGTAGCCGCCGGCGCCCCTCACCTCCTCGCCGCAGACGTCCCAACACACGAACACTCCGTCTTTGGGACCACAGTCCGCCCCAGCAGCCGCAACACCAACGACCAGCAACACCAGGATCCTCAGGAACGCCATCTGCGAAGATTTTCAAAAATTGTTATTTCTGAAAAGAAAATTTTTTTTTTTGCACTCACTTTTCACTTGCTGAACTTTCTTCTTGATGAAGTTGAAGATCCCTAGTAACACAAAGTCAATCAGCAAACGAAAGATTCGCGAAACAATGTTTGAGGCCACCAGCTCTAGGAGACCCATCAACTTTTGTCGACTCCTGGAGACAGGAAGTCGTTAACAATGCGTCCGCGTCCGAGACGAAAATCGAAAAGGTACCATCAGAAAAATTTGAAAAAAATAGGTTAAGGTAACAACACTCACCAAAGACTACCGCCAAAATTTCAGGCCCAACGGATCATCCGTTAACGAATGGCACCCGATGCCAACTGAAGAAGATATTTCCATTCTTCTTGATCCGAACATCTGTCGGATCCATGCCTGATTCCTCCTGATGGATAGCAATAACAATTGCCATTTCCATAAAGCCNAACTGCAATCATCAAGATATTCACGCAAATAAAGGGTGGCGTCTTAAATACCTCAAGAAATAACGAATTATTCGCACGGAAATTTCAAAACTGATACTCATATCAGTCTAATAATATATCGGAAAATTTTCCATTGAAATAAAGTGCTGTACAGAGGGCTTTTGTTGTTGCAGCAAAAATGGAAGAAAAAAAAACCGTGTATATGATGTTGAAAAAAGTTGGAAAGCTTTTGGTTTTTCCTCGACCAGCAAACCTCTTCAAACCCGCACGTACGGCCTCTGCATAATGGATTGTATCGCATGATGTGACTGTTATTCTCATATACAGTACAGTACAGTACTGTATATAGTTTGTCATCCGAGATTTCGGTCGTTTTGTAAAAAAGATTGCGGGGCAAGTTGGCATCACGTGCGACGACCGCGTTTTTGCCGCAACAAATTGATTAGATGAAATAATGCCAGGAAAAGTTTTGCCATGTTTGATGCTCGTATATCGTCGTGTATAGACGTGGGATCAACCCAAGCCATATAGCAGAGAATGGCCGGCTCCACGATGAAACTCTTGCGGCTCGAGAAACGGTGCATATATACTGTATACTGTATACAACAAAAAGAAGAAGAAAAAAAACTGGGAGTGGGGGGAAATTAATTTTGAAAGTTGGTCGACGGGGCTGGAGAAGCATGTGCTGTTGCACGCACACGCGATGAGGAGGAGCAGCAGCAAAAGAGCCAATAAGCCTCTTGCTGGTGCCAAGTTTTCATGGGTGATGTAGCTGGCAGCCTCAGGGCCTAACTCGGTTATCATCCAGCAGGAGGCAGAACTCGAGGGATCCCCCGGAGGCAAACAGACACCTTCAGATCAGGGGATCCGTCCTAGGAGAATTAAACGCTTATCCGGCCATGCAACCCCCGCCTGCATGTATACCTAGCTATACTGAACTCGGATATGTTTTCCCCGGGGGGGGGGGGGGGGAAAAAAACATACGTGGTTTGTTTTGTTTTTCTTTCCGGCGGATATATTTGAGGAGAGAGAAAAAAAAGAGAACCATACCCCCGAATCATCCTCTTTTCCGAAATCGTTTCTTCAATATAGACATTCCTTCAATATATGGAATGTTTTCTTTTTTGAAATACTGTTTATCGTGGTCCGCAAAAGTTTGTGAGGATTTATTCAAGCTCTCAGCAGGTAAAAGAGCGAAAAACAACAGTACTGTGCTGTATATTAAAATGTTGAATATACAAGTGAGGGCTACTGACCAGGTTTTCAAGTATAAATTTGAATCTTTCATCAGGGGTAATTCAAGTTGGGGAAAAAAGGCATTCGATCCTTTTCGAATATCCCAAACTCAAATTTCCCTGGCGACTTTTGGATATTACTTAGTCGACACAGGGAAGAAAAATGGGAAAAAATTCTACTAGATGGGCTCGGAAGGAACTGAAATATGAATTGGCAAACGAATCCATACCTCATCCAATAACTGCAGCCTCCTGTCAACTCAGTCAATTGAACAATTCAAGGCTTAACGTGTCACCAATTACAATTTCCTTGAGAAAAATGTTTGTTTCCTTACATATGGGAACCCCAGCATCATCCCTGAGTCCATTTTCAATTTTTTTTTCAAAAGCATTCAATAGAACGTTGATCCATGTTTGAATACCAACATTTGCAAACAAATGGCATTGTGAGTTAAACACGGAGTTGGAAGATTTTTCCTTTTCGCCAATTTAATCTGAATGTTCGAAAATTTGAACAGTTTTTGAATATATTCATGTATTTTATCAAGACATAAAAGAGAACGTTTTGCTCACATCCCTAAAATTTGTCGAATCTTTAATGCATTGCCAGCGCAGCAGTACAATATTGGCAACACTTAAGAGTCATCCTCTTTTCCAAGTACCTAAAATTTGGATACTGTACTTTTACTCCCATGAAAAATTGTATGAGTGAAGTGTTAACTTCAATCGTATCTCATTGCTCTCTAGCACTATTATAGAGAGGTTTCTTGTAGAGAAAAAAAAAGATGGTGTACTTTCGGAGTTTTGGGCATGCGCTGTTTTTGACGGGCGCTCAATTGTCCGATAATGCACGGTTTCCCTTCCCTTTTTTTTGTCTTTATTTTTCCCGTGTTTGGGGGTCTTATACTTCTTAGGAATGATTGCTGGGCCAGGAAGAAGGGGTCCCAGTTCGGCGAAGATTCCTTCAGTGGCCCGGTGAAGCAAGTAATTCCAGAGGAATTGGTATTTGTCAGCTATAGGGAGTGGAAAGGGGGGGGGGGGGGAAAGGGGACTCATTTCACCATCTGGTGTTGGACGAGGAAAACTTTTTCTCACCAGCAGCCAGAGGTCCTTTCTTCTTTTCTTTTTATTCTCCTCATTATATCACCAAATGGACATATATATATATATTTTTCCCCCTTTCCTTTTCAGCTTTCTAGAATGAGAACCTTGTGTGTTGGATGCTAGGTCCTGACACAAGGACAACAAGCAGCAGAGAGAGACGAATAAGAAGGGGATCCTTTTTTTCTCTCTTTTATCATCCCAGCAGTGAGAGATCCTATTTCTACGCGAGAGTAACTTTCTATATCTTCTTTTCTAGATCTTATTTTCTGCGAACGAAATTTTTATTTTGCATTGGGTGCAAATGAGAGCTCGGTTTTGAAGCTGAGGAAGTTTTTATGCTATATACTATGCTGCACCTAGTCGCTGACGAGACATTCAGGTTTTTCTTTCCATAGATACATTTTTTTTTTTAAAGAAATGACGCAGATGCGACAGCATTGGACCACGTGATGGCAGCAGACTTGGGAATAATTTGCGGAAGAATCCAAATCAGTGCATGGAGAGGTGATGAGAGAATGCGATTACCGTCCTCTTACACTATAAAGGTAAGAACGAAATTAGTCCAAACTTTTTCTAAGTAAAGTGTCGGGAAATGAAGTTCTCTGGATACACAGTTTTCTGCTTGGGAATCAATCAAAGATTAAGTTACCGGCAACAATGAAAAGGAAATTTGATTGATTTTCTCAACGGTTTTCTCCAATTGCAGCCGCAAACTTGGATTTGGCCCACGGAATGACATTATTCCTGATGGGCCAATAACTCGTCTTCTGCGTCACAAACTCAAATATTGCCATCAGGCATCAGAACATATTTATTTTTTAGTCAAGCACTATTTTCAGATGGTGGAAATTTTTATACGAATATTTTTTCAAGATTTGGTGCTACTATAAAAACTGTGTGCAAATAAAAAACCCGCAGTTATTGTTGCAGGTAAACCTAATTTTGTTTGAAGCGACGGAATGCACTTTCAAATATTTCTTTTTCTCTATTTAAATCTTGAGGAATGCAGAAGATTCAAACTAAGGTCAGAAATATTCAAATATATTTTGGTAAAACGTTTTGTCTTCATTCATCCAACGAGACTCATGTACGAAGACGAATACTTATGGAATAACCCTCGTTGGTATGATACAAATTCGCTCAATAAACTGAAACTAATTGAGAACACGCAGACGCATTTCCGTCTCCAATGTACCAACAGCTTCCTTGAATTAAATTAGCAATGTTAGGAATCGTCAAGCAGGTAAAATATTCATCATTTTTCCGGTTTGCGTTCTATAAAAAAACAGCAACCGAAGTCCATATTTTCCGGTATTCAGCAATAAATTGAGGCATTTTTGTACTGTGTTGACCGATCCTATGAAAATTCAATCAAATCATCCTCAGGAAAACGAAAACAAAAGTCCCTCACATAGCCACGATGATGAAATGATTTTCAGCAACTAAATGAAACGCCCGACGACCAAATCAACATAATTTCTACGTCCGTTCTTCAAATTCCGATAAAAATCCCGGGATTATGGGCTATTCGAAGAAAGAAAATTTCTCTATATGAGCTTCTCTCTCAGCTTTCGCCATTCCAAAATTGTCGTGAATAAAAAATAAGAAAAGACTCGCGCTGCTGCCACCAATCTTTCCTTCGGATAGCAAAATGACGTCGTACAACATTAGTTTTCATTTATTTGGAAGCATCATTTTAAAATTGGATTCTAGATTTTTTGAAGTTCTTTGGTACAAATGGACTTTTCTTTCCTGTTTCAAAAACAAACACGGAAAGATCTTAAGAGGGACCATTTTTGAAAGATGCCTCAATAGATTTCCCAGGAACGTGGTTCCGATGAGATCCAAAAATAGTTTTCAATCTCTCTGGGCATGTTTGAGTTTGATGCATGGCATTTCAGGCAACAAAAAAAATATAATAATTCGTAAAAATCCCCCAAAGTTTTCTCTCTTCCTGAAATTAAAATCATTCAAGAATAGGAAAAACAATTTTCAACACAGTCTTGGACCTAAAACAAAAAAAAAATCGACTTCAGATTACTCATCCCACATAGCTTCGAAATATTCCGTGTGAAATGTTTTCTTGGCTACTCTTAAACCAGAAAGGCTTTCAGTAGAAGACGTTTAAATTCTGAGAAAAATTCTGCATAAAAAATCAATTTTAAATCAGGAATTGATTATTTCTGCTCTCGTGATCCTCGCTCCGCAGTAATTCTCTTAAAAATACACTCACTCGAATCAGAAAAACCGATTCCAAAAAAGTATAATAAAAAAGTCACTGCCCACTTTGTGGTACATTTTAGTACCATCACACGAATGCACAACAATAACAACAACAACAACAACACAGGGGAAAGAGCACGAGTATATCGAGGGCAGGCGGGGGATCCTGCGGAGTCGGTGGGATCCGCGGCAATGCCCAGAAGCGGCCCCAGGGCCGCGGGTTCTTCCTCTCAAACAACAACAACAACAACACAGGGGAAAGAGCACGAGTATATCGAGGGCAGGCGGGGGATCCTGCGGAGTCGGTGGGATCCGCGGCAATGCCCAGAAGCGGCCCCAGGGCCGCGGGTTCTTCCTCTCCAGTGTCCCGGAACCCGCGACGACTGCTGGAACAGGGCATGGAACCCGCTAAAAGAAACCCGAAA